TCTGGGCTTTTGAGATGGAAGGAACATTCGAGATCCTTTTGTGCAATTTGCTCTTTTGACAGGTAAGTAAAATGAAGCCTGCAGAGGCCAGGTGGCCTCCCCAAGTCCACACACCTGGTTAGTGGAAGAGTGTGGCTGGACTCAGTCTGTGAAGTAGTCCATCAGGGCTCTTCCCAGGGACTCGCTGAAAGCCCAGCAGAGAGCTGGTCCTGGTGAGGAAAGGGGGGGAAGGGATGTGGGCCCCAAGAGCCTAAAGCAGAAGCAAGCCCCTCTCAGAACTGGGATGTGCTCACAATGGAAGTCTGGGGCATTGTGATCCTGCTTCCTTGACTGTTTTTTCCTGGAATGTATTTGGATTAGATTTCTTTTGTATCCTGCGGATTTTCTTCCTCTTTCTACTTTTGTCTACAAATTCAATTCAGTGCATGAGGTTTTGAGAGCTGTGTGTCAGGCACTTAGCTAGATGTTGGAGATTTATTTGGCAGTGAACAATGCTTTCTCTCCTCTCATGGTGTTGAAGGACAGATATTAGAGAAGTCATCATCGGGGGAAATGTAGGGTGTTGAGAGGTGTAGAATAAGGTTTTGAAGTTAGTCTGGGGTGATAGAGAAAGGATCCTGAGAAGCCAGGAATGGCAGGATGAGTTGGCTTTAGTCAAGAAATACCAGGGGACAGGCTGGGCTGGGGACAATGTCCCAGGCAGATGGAGCCTCATGAGCAAAGCCTGGATTCAAGAGACACAATGTCATTGACAAGGAGACCTCTGAGTCTTTATTCTTCCAAGACCTGAACTGTTCAACTCCCAGGACAGTGAGCTGATAAATTTTTTTTATACCTAAACTTCTTCAAATGATATTAAACATATTTTAGGAGACAAGTAAAGCCCAAACACAATTATTTACATAGTAATTCCCTTTCAGGAAAATACAAGGGAAATTTAAAAATTGTTGCAGTCCTCAAAAAGGCTTTGCCCTCACTTCTGTGTGCTTCCATAGGCATATAGAAACAAAACTCTGGGGTAATTTGATTAAAATATTCAATTTTTAAAAAGTATTAAAATAGACATACTTATTGCTTGCACAATGCAAATGATCTGTTTTATAAATTCTTTTGGAACAAATAAGAGGGAAGTCAAAATATACATAGAATTCTGTGTTCAACCCCTCCCTCACCCCCACTGAAGGAGGGAAAATATGGGGACTATTTATGACTTATGTCCCATTACAATAGTCAGAGGTCGAGATGGAGAATGATCAGGAAATCAATTGATTCAAGGAAAGGCTGAAGATGCTAACATATCACAGTCTGAAGAAGAGGTGATTTGGGTAGGAAATAATTTTCATCATACCAGTCAGGGAACTTGGTTTCAACCAACAGAAACCAAATTGGTATTAATGGAAAGGGGATTTGGAGTTACAGAACAGGGGTTAGGGTTGGGGCCTGGGCAGGAACTAAGGGGGGCGGGTGTGTGCACCCCTGTTCAGGACAAAGGCTGCCAGGACTCCAAATATTTCCCCCCACCCAAGTCGTGGAGCGAGAAAGCATCTGACTGGTTGACCCAAAGTCATATGCTGAACCCCTTCTCCACTGGGGACCCAGGAGGAGGCAGAGGGAGGCTGGCACTGGGACAGCCCTTATACCAAGGCCACACAATATTGGGAACATCCAAATGGGGTATTCGGCCAATAGTTGTCATTTCTTGCTTACTTATGTCTTTGCTTGTTTATTTTCTGACTCTTACCCCTGGAATATGACCTCTTCGACAACTGTCCATTGTTGCCCACTGCTGGACCCCTAAGCTTTGAGTAGTAGACAATAAATACTTGTGGAATGTATTAATAAGTGGACATCCAAGGGAAGCAAACCTATCCCACATTGTCCCATGTGTAGACAGGAATGAATGTGTCATTGGTATCGAGATGTGAATTTTGGCTCAAGATCAGGAAGACTTTTCTTTTTTTATTATTTTATTAAATTTTTAAATTCAAGTATAGTTAACATATAGCGTTATGTTAGTTTCAGGTATACAATACAGTGATTCAACAATTCTATACATTACTCAGGGCTCATCATGACAGGTGTACTCTTTATTTATTTATTTATTTATTTATTTGACACGTGTACTCTTTAATCGCCATCTCCTGTTTCACCCATCCCCCACCCACCTCCCCTCTGGTAACCACCTGTTTGTTCTCTATACTTAAGAGTCTGTTTCTTGGTTTGTTTCTCTCTTTTTTTCCCCTTGTTCATTTGTTTTGTTTCTGAAATTCCACATATAAGTGAAATCATATGGTACTTGTTTTCTCCCTTATTTTGCTTCACATTATACTACCTGGCTCCAACCATGTTGTTGCAAATGGCAAGATTTCATTCCTTTTTATGGTTGAGTAATATTCCATTGTGTATATATACCACTAAGATAAGGAAGACTTTTCTTTTTTCTTTTCTTTTTTTAGGATTATTTATTTATTTATTTGAGAGAGAGATAGCAAGAGCAGGAACACAAGCAGGGGGAGTGGGAGAGGGAGAAGCAGGCTTCCTGAGGAGCAGGGAGCCTGATGCAGGGCTTGATGCCAGGACCCTGGGATCATGAACTGAGCTGAAGGCAGATACTTGATGACTGAGCCACCCAGGCACCCCAAGGAAGGCTTTTCTAATAACCAGAGTTACCAGATGGCATTATAGTCCATCTCATGAATAATAGGACTCTGAATTTGGAAGCAGCAGTGGGATTTCAGCATGGACATCCATTACCCTCTTCTGTGATAACAGCTCCTGCCAACTTCTGTTTGGTGTTTCCTTCTTTCACTCTCAGGCCCTGTGTTTTCTGGGAAGTTCACTCTACTTCCAAATCCAGAGGCTAACATAATTGGTACATTCCATTCCCCTGGAACTAGTGACTAGTTCAAGAAGAGCATGCATGTGACCCAAATCAGGTCAAGCAGGGCCAACTGGGTCCAACCCAGGGCTTTCATTTGAGCCTTAGAAGAAATAGACTCTCCTGAGGGATTTGGTGTCATGATGATGAGGGTCTAGAGTAACCAGTGGCCGCCATCTGAAACTTGAGAATGAAGCTGATTTGGAAGAAGGTAGAACTGAGATAAAGAGGGAAACCCTGTTCTATGTGTGCTTGAAGTCAGATCCACCCTGAATTCCTACAACATGAGCCAACATTTTTCCTTGGGTTGCGTTTTCTGTTAGTTGCAACAACATGAGTCTCAAATGATTTAAGTGTCAGCTCTGATCAGTCGATAGTGCCCACCTACAGCCCTGCACTGAGGAAGATCCTGGGGCCAAATCCTGATACAGTGGAAAGAGTAAGGTTGGTGAGTGTTGTCACAGGAGTGGGAAGGGGAGTTGTGTCAATCATGCCATGCATTTGCCATCCTGGGGCTAGATGCTCATTTCTCAGGATATCACAGTCCAGATTCCTATCACAGAGGTTGGGCCACGTGGTCCACAACGGTGCTATTCAATGGAAATATAAGGTGTGCCATGCATGCGGTTTAAAATTTTCTAGTAGCCATGTGAAAAAAATAAAAAAGAAACCATAAAGTTACTTTTAATAAAATCCCTTATTTAACACTATATAGCCAAAATATTACCACTTCAGTAGGTGGCACTGGCTGACTTTCAAGTGCTCTGTAGCCACACGCAGCTAGTGGCTACTGAACTGGGCAGCATGGGTCTAGAATCATAGAGTGTTGGAACTAGAAGCAGCTTCTACCAGCACCTCACTGTAGAGATGGGTAAATGGAAGCAGAGAGCGAAGTGAGTAGCTTTCCAAAGCCCATGAGTAACTGTAGTGACTTTCTGTGGTGTATTTCCTCTCTTCCCAACAGAAAGCCTGTTTAGTGGATGTGGGAGGTGGAATAATGCTCCCCTCTCCCCAAAGATGTCCACGTCCTAATTGCGGGAACCATGATGGTGGTACTTGACATGGCAAAAGGACTTTGCTGATGTGATGAAGTTAAAGGTCTGGAGATACGGAAATTATCCTGGATAACCCAATGTCATCCCAAGGGTCCTTGTAGAGGGAGGTGGTCAAAGTCAGAGAAAGGAGATGGGATGATGGAAGCAGAGGTTGGGGTGATGTGCTTCAAAGGTGCAGGAAAAGCCATGAGTCAAGGGCCATAGCAGGCCTCCAGAAGCTGGAAAAGGCAAGGAAATGGATCCTTCCCTGAAGCCTCCAGGAGAAACATAGCCCTACCGACACCTTGATTTTAGCCTTAGAAGACTCATTTCAGACTTTTGACCTCCAGAACTGCAAAAGAATAAGTGTGTGTTGTCTTAAGCCACTTAGTTTGTGGTAATTTGGTATGGAAGCCATAGGAAACCAATGCAGTAGCTCTACATAGTGAGTCAACAAAATTTGTTCTCTGGATTGTTTTAGGTAGAAATCGATGTCCCCTGCAATGACAAATTCATCTTCACTCTGACAAATTCAGAGGCATATGTGGCCATTTTCTGCACATGGTCCCCCATCCCCCTGGGGTACAGCTGAGGGAAAATTCTCTAGCATAGCTCTTGGCATCCCACCAAAGCTTTTATCAGTAAAACGTGACAAGGTGATCTTTCCACTCTATCTTGGGGAAGTGGTCTCCAACCCTTTGGTGGGGTCCAAGTCTGGTCTGGGGAAAGGGTCCCCAAGTTTGCTGATGGGTTATTTTCCTTGGCTCCTTCTAGGAAGTGCTGTGGATGACCACAAAGCAAATGCTCTCTGGCATTCCAGTAATAATGTGGGCACAAAAGGAAAAAACAAATAAACACCATAGTTCACATCATCCTTTCCTTTTGTTAAATGCTAAAGCACAACTGGAGAACTTTAAATGTGACATTTTCATCATCCAGTTTACCCATTTAGAAAATGGAGCTTAGTAAAGCCAAATGGGTTAGTTCTAAGAACACCAGAGTCCAAGGACTTCGATTCAACCAAAAATTAGCTCATCACTTCTCTGGGTCTGTTTCTTCACCACCAAAAAGAAAAGCTGAACTCAGAGTTCCTTTGTGGCTCTCAGATTTTATTATTTTAAATGCATATAGGAAGTTTACTGCTGGTTTGAGAAATCGTCATCAAAACACACAACACTTGGGGGTGTCCCCAAAAGCCAAATTTCAACTGCAGAAACATTTTGCATCATGGTTGACTTGAACGTTGCTTTGAATCTCACAGGATCCTGCAGTGTTGAAGGGGTCATTGAGACTGTCCATCCCAACCCCTTCTGTCAGAGTTAAGAAAACCAAAGTTCAGAGAAGTTGAGTGACTTGCCCAGCATCCTGGGACTAGAAATAAGGTCTCTTGATTCACAAGCCTGGGCTCCTGTTACTCCCTCATTGACTCCTATGTGGAAGTCCGTAATTTCTCTTAAGAGGAGCCAAGATGTGCACTGCTCCAGCCCAAGTCAGGGCAGAGGTGAGGAAGGAGGGAGTGTGGTGCTGGGTGCGTTGTCAGATGAAAAGATCACCTGTGAGGTTGGGCTGGCAGCAGGTAGGAAACTTAGGGAGAGGCGTGGCCATCTTTGCTGCACTGGTTGCCGGTGGTCATAGATCGATTTCCAGGGAGGGGTGGGCTCTTGTTAATTTCAAAGTGGTATTGCACAGAGTGGGGGCAATAAGTTGGGGAGAAAGAGAATTCTGCTCTAAAGTCTAAAGAGGTTTTCCTTTTCTGGCTCTTATGTCCACATAACATTCAGTTTTTCCTCTAAGAAACGGGCAAATAGAAACTTACAGAACGTCTCTATGGCTTGTTCTGGCTCTGGAGTACCCGGGGCACATCTGATGAATTAGGGAGGGAGCAGAAGGCTGTGCCCACCCCAGTGCCATTGCTAGCATTCATCCACCGCACGCAGGTGACAGGAAATTAGTTTCAGGTGGCTTGTTGACCTAAATGAGAAAGGAAAAACAATGCTGTTTTAGAAGAAAACATAAGGGGAGTATCTTTATATCTGTGGATGAGAAAAGCTTTCTTTTTTAAAAAATTTATTTATTTATTTTTAAAGATTTTGTTTATTTATTTGACAGAGAGAGAGCACAAGCAGGGGGAGCAGGAGAGGGAGAAGCAGACTCCCCACTGAGCAGGGAGCCCGACATGGGGCTCAATTCCAGGACCTTGAGATCATGACCTGAGCTGAAGGCAGACGCTTAACCGACTGAGCCACCCAGGCACCCCTAGAGAAGCTTTCTTAAGCAGGTTATATATTGAAAAATTGGACTCCATCAAAATCCAGAATATCTGTTCACAAGACTATGCAAAGAGCAAAAGGCAAGCCACAGAGTGGGAAGAGATATGTGTAAGATTTATGTCTGTCAAAGGACTTGTATCCAGAATACATAAAGAACTTCTACAAACTGAGAAGAAAGTTGGACACCCAAACAGAAAGGTGGACTAAGAATTGAACAGGCACTTCCCGACGACAGTGCCCAAGACAGCCAAAACCAGGTGTTGTGTTGGGGGTTTCACCCACGTAGTAATGGACTAGCATCGATGTGAATACACTTTCCACATATATAACACACTCCCAGGTTTTTTACTGAATGTGAGTCAAGATCAACATGTCAGGTAGAAGCACAAAGTTTGACGGCAGATAAAGAATCAGCAAATCCTTATTCATGTGTTTAGTTCTTTCTTTTGAGGTATCTTAGTAGAGAGAGGTGAACTCTTTTAAGGATGGCTAGTCGTGTTTTAATCCAAGGACAGACTAGGGTGGAGGGAGGTGCAAGGAAGCCAATAATTCCCTGGATGGATTAAGGAACAGCTGGTTATTGGTTACAAAGGGAGGTAACATTTTAATTTAAATATCCATTTTTTTTCAGTATGCCAGAAATTACCTTGTTTTTCAACCACTGAAAGTTATGATGAGAATATTTAGATGCAAACATACCAATGTGTGGGTGAGGGAGAGACAGAGCTTTTGAAACTCTCATAAATTTACAGTAAAAAAGGTTGAAGAGTATTGGCCTGAAAGTGTTCTAGAAGGCAGGGGTGGTGGTGGAGGAGGCCCCAGCAAGCTCCCCTGGGCTTCCGGACACTCAGGATCCCTGCAAAGGGCACGCAAGGAGCCTAGCACATGGTGGGTGTATCACAGATGTTTTTGACTGATGGACAAGGTCACTTTCCTCACTCACCACACAGTTTATCGTAATGTTCAGTGTTTCTCACATGGGCTGATGACCCAGCTGACTCATCACACTAGTGGGCAGTTGTCCTTATAAATCTACCGTCTTTTCTTTTCTTTTTTTTAACTAAAGGAATCACAGATGGGAAGGCCAAATGTTAGGAAGCATATAGTAAAAAACAAAACAAAACAAAAAAACCCCTGACAATGGAGAGCTTAATACATTTAGCATCTAAGTTGTTCTTTGAGGAAGTGGCTTGGGGCTGAAAGGGTAAGTCACTTAAGTTGCACTGTTTATGAATATAATCTTAATTTTCCCCATATGTGGTAAATTTCCTGTTATCTTGTCTAGGTCGAAATGGTGCATTTGGATCGATTAAACAGTTACTAAGTATTCTTAATATTGTCAACCAATTACTTTTCCTTCGGCAAATCAGAAGACAGTTCAGGATTCTGGATGCCTTGGGACCTTTCTTATGAATGCTAATTATCCTTGTCTTATATGTGTGAGAAAACGTTCAACCAGATAAACAGAACAGCAGAAAAATTCGGTTTTCTTGTTTTCAGAATGGAGACTGGAAAAGGCTGACAGACCCAACAGGAGGCATACAAGCCACTGCATGAAGTATTTGCACCAAAATCCGGGAACATTTTATAAGGTTTTGAATCTTTTTTTTTTTTTAATAAGGTTTTGAATCTTAATGAATAAAATGGGCTTCTCTCTAGCTATCACTGTTCAGCTTTAATTTTCTCAAATAGTTCTCTTGGTATGAATAGCTTTGCATATTAGAGGAAATGAAGAAGTGGCAAATTAATAAAACAGTTTAATTTCCTATAATCAAAGAATCAGGAAGATTCTTGAATTTGGAAGAAACTTGGTAAGTTAAAGAGGATGCTGGGCATAGTTATTCTTCCAAAATACAGCATTCATAGTTGACCCCAGTAGTTTGGTGGCTATGAATCAGTGGGACTCTTGTTCTGCATTAAGTCCACATTATTATTACTCGTGGCGGATGCCTGGAATGTGATGATGCAGACTGTTCTCATTTTACTAGCAGGTTGGATTCCAAAATGTGCAGATTGGGTATCTGGAATTGAGAAGATGATCTACCATGGAATCAATGTCCTAAGTGGAGGCTGGACGGCCAGGCCATAAGACATAAAATCCTTAAGTGCATTGTGCCCTGAGGTACAGCTAGTGACCCCACCCACCTTTTCACCTAATCATCATTCAGGCTTCCACATTGCCTCCTCGTGGTGTTGGACTCGAGGAGACCAGGGTTCAAATCCCAGCTCTGCCACACACCAGCTGTGTGTCTTTGGGAAAACTGACTTACCTTTCTGTGCCTCAGTTTGCTCTGCTGTGAAATGGGGACAATCATACCTTCCTGAGGTCACCAGACTCCAAGGTGTTCCCCAGTGATCCTCCCTCCTGGTTTTCATGCCCTTGTATATGCTCCTCCCACACAGAACAGGGGTGACCTGTGTAACCAATAGGGTATTGTGGAAATGACAGGATATGACTTCTGAGGCAAGATTATAAAACATACGGCAGTTGGCTCTCTCTTGGGTCTCTTGCTCTGGGGGAAGCTGGCTGTCATGTTTCGAGGACACTCAAACAGCCCCACACTCAAACAGTCCGTGGGGCAACATGTTGGTTTCAACAGCCAGCACTACTTTGCCAGGCATGCGAGTGAGGATCCTCCAACCCTTGTCAAGCCTTCAGATGATGGTGGCCTCGTAAGAGACTGAGCCAGAGCCACCAGCCACATCACTCTCATATTTCTGACCCACAGAGACTGTGTGAGATAATAAACGTTTCCTGTGTGAAGCCGCTAAGTTTTGGAGTAATTTGTTATGCGGCAATAGATAGCTAATATATTATCTCATGGGTGAGATAAGGTAGGAATGTAGTGTCTGAGTAGAGAAAACACACAATAAATGGCGGCTGTTTATGTTGTTATCCCATTGTTATGCCTAGAATGCCTGGTGCCCTGATAGATTTCAGCACCAGAAACAGAACAACCATCCTATTAGTCAACAGTCATGAGCACACGGAGCACTGAAGATGGCAGGAGACTTTTTTTCTTCTTTCCGTTGGGTTTCCCTCTGATCCCACAGATTGGTGAGCCTCAGCTGGTGCTCACACTCCCTTCTGCCCTTGGCCTCCCTCCTCTACTCTTTACTACTCCCTGCCCTTCCTGTCCCGACTCCCATCAGGTGGTGCCCAGGTGTCAGGAAGGCAGAAATGGTCAGGTGGTTCCTGACTCCAGCCTAGTGGATCCTTGAGCCTTCACAGAAGGGTATATAACTCTGGTGTTCTGCTATGTTAAAGACCCATTCCCATCAGGGTTGGGGGTCCATCTGAAGGACAGGTGTTAGCAACCCAGGCTGTCCCAATATTATATTAACGTTATAATAATATAATAATATTCACCTTTCCATGGCTATTCAACAGAGCATTTCCATCACACTCAAGGACCAATCTTATTTTTGCAGTGCCTTTTTTGGCGAAGGGTGGAGGGAGAGTTGGTTTCCTGATACCAGTTGCAATTTTTTGTGTAAAATTCAGTAACCCTGAACTGTGTACTATCTGAGTTCATTGATGGGTTGTTCCAGATGTTTTCTGGTGCTCCTGAGAAGTACTAACTCTCCGTCAGCACTGAGGCACTTGAGAAACACAAATCAGACACCAAATTACCATCCAGAATTTGCATTCATGCAGACATATTAAATTAGAGCCAATTAGCAATTATGGTAAGTTCTTCCATTGTTGTGAGGCTTAGTGGAAGAATTCAAGAGAATAGAAAGAATTCTTGAGAGTGCTTATTAATTCAAACAAACATTAGGCTGAAGATTTCACATGGGGAAAAAACTCAAGATGGAAATAATAAAAATACGATCAGGAGCTCATTTTCAAAGACATCCAAAATAATTGAAATAATAACTAACATTTGTCTTTAGGGCAGCACTTTTCCTATAAACCTGTCCTCACTTACAGCCCTGTGAGGGACATCTCCATGTTACAGATGAAGGTATTGAGCACAGAGTAACTTGCCAGAGGACACACAACTGGTAAGAAACAGAATCAAGCCTCTGGTATCTTTTCCAAAATCCTGTGAAGCTTCCCCTGGGTGACAAGTTTTGTTCTATGAAAGCATATAATTAATAAAAGAATGGATTATTAATAGATTTTAAAAAGTAAATTCCTCACTCTTTTTTTATTGTAAAAGGATACGTGACATGAAATTTGCCCTTTTAAAAAATTTTAAGTGTCTGACTTTTGATGTTATACTTCATCTTCACAGTGTTCTAGAGCATCATTGTCCAACGGAAATACAACAGGAGTCACAGAGATGAGTCTAAATTTTCTAGTAACCACTTAAAAAAGCAAGAAAAAAAAAGGGGGGGTTGCTTGGCTGGCTCAGTTAGTGGATCGTGCAACTCCTGATCTTGGGGTTTCGAGTTTGAGCCCCGTTTTGGGCGTAAAGATTACTTAAAAATAAAAATCTTAAATAAAAAGGAAAAATAAATGAAATTAATTTTGATGCTAGATTTTATTTAATTCAATATATCCCAAATCATTTCAACGTTCAGTCAATACAAAATTTATTACCATGATATTATACATTTTTTAGTTCTATACAAGTCTTTGAGATCCTGTGTGTATTTTTCACTTACTGCACGTTTTAATTTGGATGCTCAATTTTCATTGGAAGCATTTAATCTGTGTTTAGATTTCATAAA